CACACACACACACACACACACACACACACACACACACACACACACACCTCTTAAGACTGATAATGTGTTATCAGCCTCCTCTAGAGGACATCTGAAGTGTAACACACACACAAACTTTCTTGATCAGCTCTGGCCGTTAAAAACAAGCCAGAGTATATGCAAACAGTATATGTTTGCATATACTTTAACTTGTGTACATACTGTTTATGCATGTATCTGCAATATGAAATGCTATGTGAAATTAAGTTTATGTCCATGCAAGGATATAAATATATCAAGCGGTCAGAAAATAAACAGTGTGCAGAGTACACATACGCAGTGAGAAATATACTTATAAATGATCGGTTTGATCTACAAATCTTTTATTTATGTTTTTTAAAAGTTTACATACGACTAAAAATATCGTATCAACTCAATGAAACTTCTATATTTGATGCAAATTAGTAACAGGCACTGGGCCGTAAACACAACATGCCATAAGGACAATTCCACTCTACCGGGTCTGAATAAATGAAACATCAAATCTAATAGTTCATAAACATTCTAAAAGTTCAGAGTCTTTAATTCAATGTGCAGATACTCTCTGCTTTTCTTTTACTGATTATTATGCACACAACTACCCTTCTGTATACAAAACATGTAACACAACCAACCTCCATGTGTCTCCCTCACCTGGTATCCTTGTAAGAAGGGATCCAGCATACTGATGAGGAAGGCCAGTGTTCTGTGTCCTCCTTCAGTTACCAGAACCTCCTGCTCGGTAACCTGCAGAGCTCCGGTCTTCACCAGCAGGTAGCAGGCCTCCTCAAAGTCCTGCAGAACACAAGAGTGACATATGAAAGCTATGGCCATGCAATCATGTATTTACAACAAAGTCACCCACGTTTCTACATTCAGCCGACATTTATTTCAAGCACTAAATGCTGCCCCTCACCTGCACTGTAGCTCCAGGACAGAGGATGAACTCATTGGAAAACATGCTTCTTAGGAAGCTGAAACCGTTGAAGACCTCCTCTGCAAAACACATCGTAAATTGACATGCAGGGGAACCAGCCCATATGATATGTATGATAGTGTTAAAAAAAAAAAGTTTATGTATGGAAAAAAAGGCACAAAAGTCTACTTTATGTTGTGGAATGTCTAGAGTGAAACTATATAAATAAAACAACTAAATGTGTAGTTTGCAGCGTTTCTAAACAGGCAAACCGCGTGTGTGTGTGTGTCAGTCTTACGTTTATGGTTGGAGGAAGCAGCGTGGATGGCTGAGGCCAGCAGAGCCGGCCGGAGAAAGACGTGCAGCGCCTGGTTCCTGTAGGAGGCGCAGGAGAGGACGATGACCGCCTGGCTCAAGAGCTTCTCTTCCGGAGTGATGGTGCTGTGAGGCTCCCCTGGCCCCACCGGTGCTCCTTCTTCAGTACAAAGTTCAAAGTCAGAAAATGCCACAACTGTTTTCATGCATTGGGAACGCTTAATTTTAACTTATTTAGTATTAATAAGCAGTATATAAACATTTAATAAATGACAACTTAGTAAAACACAGTTGTGATCATTTACTTATATATTAATGTACACTTATATACATCTGCTTACAACTACATCATAGTGTGTTGTAAACCATTTATTAACTGTTTATATGGTGATTATGGTGATATACAAATAATGTGGAATGTTTTATTATTGTTATTATTATTGATGATCTGTAACCTCATCTTGTAGATTTACCCTGAAGTTACATGAAATAAAAATGACACACATGAATGAAAAACAGAAATCAAAGCAACGAACACAAACCTTGTTCCACTGCCAGCTGGACTTTTCCCTCAAAGACCCTCACTAGACCTCGATGCAGGGAAAGACTGGAGGAAACTACTTCTGACGGACTAATTTGGTCTAAAGGAGAGAAAAATAACCCACTTCAGCACACAGAGAGACAGTAGTAGGATTGTGAACACTTAAGTCGCGGGCTCAGTGTGTACCAGGCCAGTGGAGGAAGGCTCCGTACTGCCGGGAGAGGTCTCTGAGCCACACGGCCTGTGCAGTCAGCTCGTCCAGTGCTATCCCCTGTTTCTGCCCCGCCGCCTGGTTCTGGAGCAGCAGGGAGGCCAGAAGGACCCACGGCTTCAGGACCATGTTCTCCTCCTGGGCCCGCACCAGCTTGTAGGCCGAGTCATTCACAAAGCTGTGGATGTCCTCACCGGCCCTGCTAGGGATGTGTCTTGAATGGAAATATTACAGTTAATCCAGGTTTTTAGTCCCATGAAAAAAGTAAAGCTAAAGTTCTGATCGCTAACACATTCGTTTAGATATGCACCCCTACTAGAATAGAGAGCAGGCTTGCGGTGTTTACTGACAGTTTTCGAAAATGGAAATATAAATTTGAATGTAGAGATTTTGTATTAACATTAAGGCAGGCACAATACTAACATAAGATGCCTTATTGTTCTTTAAATGACACACATAACGTAATGTTGAGATATCACACCTGGGTACTAGGTTGAACTGGCAGCGGTCAACTCTGCCCTCGGCTAAACTTCTAACAGACACAGGTTGGCCAAAGTACACATGGATGCTGCCGTAGTCTTCACTGAGGACCTTTCTGGCTTTGAACAGACCCTACAAAAGGAAAGATGTACAAGAAAAGCAGATGAAGTGATGTGCAGAGAGCCACATCTCAGCACAAGTGTACAGGCTGCAAAATATGACTTATACAGGTTTTGCATAACAATAATTAGTAATTGTGTTTCCATTTTCCATTTATCTTTCATCAACAAGTCATGGGCTGGTTGCACAAAACACCTCAAGTTTTCTCCTCAAGTATGAGGCTTATTTTATTCTTAGCTGAGGGACTTACTTGAGGGTGTAGCACAGAATCCCTTAATTAAAATAATCCCTCAGTTAAGGAAACTGGATATTGTCTGACCGTTGTTTTAGTTTTTTCTGTTAACAAATTGGTCTTCATATTGTACGGGATCTTGAAGCCTGAAGTGGGTCCAATCCATCTCCCTGCACACTTTTGGGGAAGTCAGCAAGTGTGCCGCGCTCTCTCATCCTCTTGATTTTACGGGAACCTCACGAGTGTTCAGCCGACGGGTAAGGGCGTTTGAAACTCGATGGACGGCGCGTCACACACTGTTGACATGAAATACCTTACCTATTACTGACTGGAAAGATCCAGTATTAATTGCAAAGGAGCTGGAAGAGCGCAGCTGCGAAAACTAGAGTGATCCAACTGTAGATGGTCAGACAAACCATGAATTGACTGCCAGTCAAATAAAGTATAAAATGACGTGCTTGTCGCTAAGCGTATCTTAACTTAAGGTGTTTTGTGTAATTGGCCACAGACGTTTAAATGACTCACTGAAGTGGACTCCTTGGGTTTGGGAATACCCAGCAGCTCTCTGGCATATAGCGTCTCCTCTAAGATCCTCTCATAGCTGATGCTGACTGGGACCACGTTAACGTCAAACACCTGGCCTTTAAGGAACGGATCCATGACTATATTCAACAGACCTGGGAGAGGACAGAAAGATATGCGTCTAATCAGTTGCACCACAGAAAATTGGAAATATTTGCAGAACCATGTCAAAACATGTATATATAATATTCTGTGATATTTTGAATTTGCTAAAAATATGTTTTAACGTGAAAATGTGCTGGCAGGAAAAACTACAACACATTATCTAACATGGGTCTCATAAAACATCCAACTGCAGATGTCTGACAGGTGTTTTATTTTTCCCATGTAAAGCTCGGAGAGTTTACGGTTGCTTTTACCTTACCCAACTTTGGAGTCAAAGACTTGGACGTCCGGCTTCTGGTGCCCTCTAGGAAAAATTCCACTGGTGCAAATCCATTCTAAAAATAAAACATAAATCATCAAAAATCAATATGATAAAATGTTGCCGTCATTGTGAACTAATTGAAGAAAAGAGCTTTGTAGTACCGTGAAAATGGCCTCACACAAAAATGACACAACTCCACGACCGTAGGACAAAAAAGGTCACTTCTTAAAGAAAAAAAAAAAAAAAAAAAAAGATTTAGGATTAAAGAAAGTTCTCCACACCTTGAGCATGGTCTTGACATACTCTGAGAAGACAGCCCAGTACAGCTTGTCTCCACCAAATGACCTCCGAATGAAGAAAGCTCCAGACATCCGGAGCATCTCGCCAACAAATTTCATCCCCATGAAGTCTGCAGGGAGAAACAAACTGTTGGTGTGTGTGCAAATCGTGATGGTGTTGGACTGCATCATATTAAGTTACTATTATTCTGCCCATAATTTGGTTGAATTAAACTTTGTAAATACTAAATATACTAATACTAAATATGCTTCAGTTGACACCAACTCTAGTAGATATAGATTAAAAAAAATGCTATAATAAAGAACCAACACTTTTCTCAAACAGAGTAAAAACACACTGCACATGATGTGCTTGTAACTCGGTGTATCTTGCTCGTTTCCATGCTTACCCATGCCGGCAGCAATGACAGGCAGAGTCAGGTCGTAGGTGTACAGGAGGTACGACATCAGCAGGAAGTCCATGTAACTGCGGTGACTGGGTAACAGGACTACCGGGTGCTCCCGGATGGCCTGCTGGAGCTAAAGACGAAGCAAAGAAGAGATGAGGTGTGTATGTGTTTGTGTCATCTTTTCACTTACACTCTGTTCTTAGTGTCACATGTGTATTCTCACCCTCTGGATGCCCTCTTCGTTGACACAGATGCTCCTGAACAAGGATTTGAAGACCTTGCTGAGTGTGAAGGCAAAGAAGCGAACGGTGCTGAGCTGCAGAGAGTGAGCCATCTCCTCCAAGATGGCTGACGCCTCGTCCCGGACGTCACCGGTCTCCCTGCCCGTCTCTTTGGTAACCTTGACCATTCAAAATAAAATGGTCAATTAAAACAATAAGACCGCTTAATACAAGAAATAATAAAAATGGGAATATTTGACATCTGAATACCAGAACATGGTGCTCTTTCTACAAGTTCTTTACGGTCATATGCAAATACAGAGAAACAGTTGTTGGCAATACAAATTTTCGATCTCAGGCTCCCTCCAACAATGCTCATTAAATATAAAAAGAAAATTAAGTGAGTGCAGAATTTAAAATACAGGGATGAAATAAAACATATACAATAAAATAATATATATTTGTTACGGTAGAAATGGGGAAATGAATAAACTGGTATATGCTGTGTATCTGCAATAGCCTTGAAAATGATACTTTTTAGTATCTTATAGCTAATAGCCATTTTTGTTATAAATTAGAATCTACTTTCTGTTAATTAGTTGTGAAAATGCACATGTCTGTACTAATTTGAAATATGGTTTATTACTTAAACCTACCATTAATACAACTATCTGAATTTTTTTCTCTATAAGCTGATAAATAAATAAATAAATGTCATCTCTATAAAGAGAAGAACAAAGTTTATTAATTCTTGTCTACTGTATGTAGATGTAAATGTACAATAAAGACTAGAAACTAAAGAAGAAAAGGCACTTCTCTTAACTAACCAGCCACCTTTTGAGTGCAATCTTGAGGCCTCGTCCATCAGGCATTACCAGAATATCAACCTACTGTCGGACCACGTCACCCTCACCTGATTGATGACATAGTGCAGTTGATCAGACTGAAGCACCATGCTCTTCAGCATGCTGGGTTTACAGGGTGCCATGCCTTTATAGAAGAGCGGCGTGTAACACCTGAGGGCGTATCTCAAGTCGCTGGAGTTCCTCCTCTCTTCCAAAATGTCCTCAAAGTCATCTCTCTTCTTTAGCATAGGGTCTATATGCTATTAAAAACAAGAATCATAACATATATACATATTTCTTAGTTGTGCATTACTGAAACCATAAAATGTTTTAACATATTGTTGACAAATTCACAGCACCAAACTGTAAACAAGTAATAGAAATGCTTGTTCTGCATTTTTAGAGTAAAGTCCTGGATTTCACCTCTCTGTGACACTTCAATTTGAATATAAAAACACCTGATTAGTTGACCAGATATTGACACAGTGCACACTTTAGGGCACCAGTCTCTGACCACTTATATCAAAAGCATGAGCCTTATTTAGATAGGATCACAAAGAACGTAAAGTAGCAGTAACACAGTGTAAACATACTGCTTTCAAAGTCCTGCATTTCATCAATAGTATTATAATGTAATAATTGTACCTTGTAGGTGGAGCTAACTGTATTTTATCAGTTTAATCCATAACAATACTTCATTTGTTACATTTTGTATGTCAACTAGTAGTTTGATTATTAAAATACCTATGGTGAAACTGCATTTTACTGTAAAGTAGATTGAGGTTACTTGTTAGCAAAGTACAATCTTGTTTTGTTTTACAACACTTTACTGCAGTTTAATGTAAAGTCAATTGAATTCACGTGGAATAAAAGGTGCTCTGCAAATAGAGTTGCCTTTACCTATTTTTAGTTGTATTAAAAGAAACTGTCGTGCAGGCTGCATGCATTAAATAAATGTAAAGGGACGATTGCTTAACAGTGGTTGTATCAGTGAAAAATGTCGCAAAGCAAAACACAAAATTGCCAAATTAAACACCTTTTTACTGTTCGCTGTTTTGGTACATAAGTATGAAATCAGATTTAATCCGTTTGAGTGTAATGTGAAATAGTGTGCACTGAGATACAGCAAAGAGCTTGCCAAGTTAGCTTAGCCATTGCCAATAACAGCGAAGCATACATACCGAATAAATAGCACCGGAAGCCATTCTTTGTCACAATTTACAAACTCATACACACTGCGACCACTGAACTTATACGTTCAGGGATGTCTGTGCGGTTCTTGCCTCTTGATATGTAAATACGTTAAGTTGTTAACCGGAGAACTTCTCATCGGCGTACTAACTGACAAGTCAGGGGCATTTCCGCAACTACGGTAGCCGTGCAGGATCAACCATCGTCACACGTGTTGACATTCCATGTTGTGAAACGGCTGTTGTCGTTGAGTCCCGAGAATTAAGAACTATTTTTGCTTTTATCCTGTTTCTACCATTAGCTTCATATGAACGGAAAGGAAGACGGAGATTGTCTGTCTCTCGAGCACGTTTTGGATAAACTTTACGAGTTTGGTAAGTGCTGATAGCTACCATTTTAAGGTATGCTAGTAAACCTAGCATACCTTAAAATGCTGGTGCTGTCTGTTCATTCTAGCTAGCTAGCTTATTTGGTTTGCAGTGGGTCTGCAGACATTATATAACGTTAACTGTTGAAACTAAAAATAAGGCATTTGTTGTCGCCGATTACAGCACAAACAAATTCAATCAAAGTGAGTTGTTATAATTCAAGTCGTAAAGGTGATTGTCCAGTGATTCCAGCGTCTAATGCAATCCAATATTACAACCTCAATAATAAACATATGGTTGAAAAAGTTATCAACATTATAACATTGTGATCTTTGTAAAGGTAGGATTTATGGCAAAGTCGTCATGTTGCGTTGCTTAGATTGTATTAATGTGTAATTACAGAGACAAATGCTGATATTATATTCAGCTGTTTTCTTGTGTATTAAGGAAATGATGTGTTCGGAGCACATACAAGTTGATCATGTTTACCAAAACGTTGCAGGGACTTGAATGAGATTTTGTTGTTGACTGACGTTTCAGATGATGGACCAGCATCCAAAAAGAAGCTCAAGTCTCAGAAGAAGAAAAAGAGAAAAAGATATGAGGAAGAGGAAGAAGAGGTGTTCCCTGCAGCCGAGGATATCTGCAGTGACTCTGAAGACAAGCGAGTAGATCATGTTGGAGCCGAACACCAGCAGCAACAACCAAAGACTGAGCAAACAGGTGGGCAGCATAGCAACAAGCTGAGTAACAACTCCACGCACATGTGATAGATATATCTATCAGCTGTCAATATACTATGTTTTCAAACTCTCCCCTCCTCTGGCCTCCTCATCTCGCACCATTCATTTCATTCACGCCTCCTTGTCTCGTTCAGGTCCAACCATCCAGCAGGTGAGCCAGGTGAAGGTTGTAATATTTCAGGACCCCAGAAAGAAACAGAAAACCAAGCAGACTACAGCACCCGACAAAATGCCTGTAAGTCTATACTGCTTTAGCTCACCGTGTACATCCTTCATACAAGATATGTATGAAGGTTCAACTTAGACTAATGACCTGAAGGCCAAATCCTTTTTATTCATGTTACAGGATGACCTGTTCTCAGGTGCTTTAACTGTGCATTGTGTTGCCCCACCAGTGCTAAAGATCTAAGAGTAGCATATTGGAAAATGTGCACCCATAATAGTGTTTAAGAACCATTACATTGTTTTATTCAAACCAAATTTTACATCAAGTAGTCTATTTGTGCAAATGCAGAACGCTTTACATCTCTGACATTTTAAACCTAACCCCTTCCATGCTGCTGTGTGACCTTTAGTCAACCGTCTCTGTTTGTGTTCTTCTTGTCACCATCCATTCTCTTCACTTTCTCTCTCCCCTTGTCTTTGTCGCCTTTGGTTATGTGCCGTCCTCACTTCAAGGCCCCTCAGAAGATGACAGAGGAGGAGGAAAGCGGCCAGCTAGAAGAGCTCAACTTGGAAAAGGTGACAGTTTTATCAAAATGTACTGTATGTGTTGTTTTCTTTTCGAAGATGTTTAAACTATCAGTCTTGCATTGTGTGAATTGGTTCTTCTCATTTAGTAGCTGCCCCGCTGTGTGGGAATTGTTGCTTAGCCCACTGTATCGCTGTGACATGTTTGGCTTTATGCTGTATTTGTTGCCATCAGACTCGTCTTGAGGTCCATCGGTTTGGAATCACAGGCTATAAGAAGGAGCAGCAGCGTGTTTTTGAACAGGACAGAGCCGTCATGCTGGGGGCCCGAGTAAGGAAAACAGCTTTTTTTTAAAGTCCTGTACCTATTTAATTAGCACCACAGCCCTGTTAGTAGCAAATTGACCAATTCACAAGTTCATTATTGTCTCCTAATCAGCCTCCCAAGAAGGACTACGTCAACTACAAGATGATGCAGCAGCAGATCAAAGAGAAGAAGCAGAAAGCAAAGGAGGTTCAGCCGGTAAGAGCTGCACCTACAATCAATTACAATAGAGACGCATTTCCATTAAATCATTAACACATTTTTTAATGTATTAAAATAAACACAATAGTGGTATTAAAATATATATACAGTATACTCCACCTGTTCTTATTATATCCTGTATTGTTGCTTCGTAGGACCTGAAGAAAAAGAAGAAGCCGAGTAATCAAAGGTGGGTAAACGTTTAATTTGGAAGAGACGCGCTCAAACCAACATCAGCAAACATTTTAAGTGTCCTTGCATCTGTATTCTATAGTTCTATCTGATAGTGTCTATCATAATTCATGGATGTAAAACACAGCACTAGTGTTTTTGATTTAGCATAACAGAATGGACAGATAGTTGTACAGGCTTGTCGCATCTGAGTGGTTGAAACCTGTGTTTGACTGTGCTGCTATCTCCACCAGGGCCAAGAAGAAGAAGGTGTCCTCTACTTCTGGTTCCGGCTCGGCCCCCACAGGTCAGGTGGGCCACTTCAAGAATGGCATGCTGATCCTCAGCCCCAAGGAGATCCAGAAAATCAAAGGCAACAAGAGACGCAAATAGGTGAGTGTGTTTTTGTACCTATAGCTAATGATCTAAAAGGAATTAGGAGATATAGTGCCCCAAAGTTTGGACACCTACTGGTCCTGACTTCAGAGTTGAGGGTTAATGTTTCATGGTTGAAATATGCGTGTTTGTGTTTGCAGGTGAGCCTCCAGGATGGAAAAACATCAGCAGACCAGAGAAAGAACTGGCTTCCAAACGCCGTCAGTGACTCATCTTACTGCAGGACTGTTTGCAGTGTTATGAGGAAGAGCACGAGAGACGAATACAACGTGAGCTGTGAGGCTGATTTCCAGAGGACGGTGTTACTGGAGACAGACTGCAGAGACAGGAATCCAATTTACCGATCCTCAAAATGGACCCTGAATGGGGCACGATGGCGGGACGTAAATGCACGACACCGGAGACCTTGGTCAAATCATATTCCATCACAGTTAATTTATTTTCTTTTTATAAATGACCCAAAAAAACAAAAGAAGACATTTGCGTTTCTTGTGTTTTACACGGTAAAGGTTTTTAAATAATGCAGTTACAATGCATTTATCATATACAAACCATGTAGTACAAAACATTTACATTGGCAGGAAGGGAGGGGATCATAACAGTACAGATGGGGGTAATTATCTTTAAAAAAAAGAAAAAGCAATGTACACACAAGTTACTCCTGGCAGATGTTTTCATGTAGAAACATACATACAGACATAAGAGAGTAGTTTGTCTCCCTTTTATAAACCCTTCATATATGTAAACGACTTCTTCACAGCCTCCAGACGCTGCGTTCGAGGTGAAAACATTACAGATTTAATTTTGTTAAAGAGAAAACATTAAAAGCTGATGGATTCTGAGCGGCAATGGCGAAACAAGAGGTGTAATCTGGCAGTGTGCGGCTGGGTGAGGTCACAAAATCTCACACCGTTTCTTTTTTTTGAAGCAGCTTTTGTGTTATTTATACATTTTAAAGAAGAAGAAACAGCACAAAGAAATATGAAGCTCATCTGCAGCACATTGTTTTAAGCTGTAAGCAAAGCTGTGTTATGTTTAGATTTTACCTTCTTTTTTTTTTTTTTAAACCTTCAACTCTTGGCAATAAACCATAGACAATATATATATATATAACCAGGAGCCATTCAACTTGAAGAGGGCAATATACAAAAGAAAATAAATATGCAATTAAATATATTTACACACTTTATAGAGTACATAAATCTGCAGTTCTTTAAGTTAAACAGCTTACAGCAGTGACATGCTCTTTTCCCCAGCACCGTATCTTGAAGTTAAATTTAAATCTCACATTCATGGGTGGGTAAGTGTTGGGGTAAAGGGACATGCCATACAAGCACTCTTACAATAGCATATCTAGACAGGAGTGACTACAATGTGACTCTTTTAAAATATGTGAATTTTGCCACAAAAGGTATTGTTTTGATATGAATTTAAGAAATAACTGTATGCGGAAAAGAAAAGGCGTAAACTCATTTTACCTGATACACTGTCGGACTCTTTGAACCTCCACCTAACACCTTTTAGCTTCGATTCCCTCCGGTCATGATTTCCTCTGCACCGTTTTGACATCAACACAGCCTGCAGACATGTAACCCCAAATCATCCAGACTCTCAGCTGAAGGAAAAGCATCCCCTCTGGTTGTGTGAGAGATGTCTCACTTTGCCTGTGGGCCTATAATCTATTCCTGGTTACGGCAAAGTCAATCTCGGGGGGGCAGGTTGCTCGCCCTGGTGTGGAAGGTGGGAGGGCGGTCAGAGCTGAGCAACCTCACGTGCTGCAAATATAGACCTTAGGTGAAAAGCTGGCAGTCTGGGGCACGTCAGGATAAACTCTCCTTTGGGTGATGTTTGCTTTCTGGGTCGGGAGAAACTGGTTCAAGTCCTGACTTTGACACTGATGGTGCATTCATGTCATGTGGGAAAGATGGTAAACGTAGGCCTGGTTTCAGCTGGTAGACCATACACACAATGGCAATTGAAATTCTAATAAAACTATTTTCAGATGGCTTTTATTGTCTGGATTTATTGTTAGCAATGAAATGCTTTATTAAAACTTCTTTTGACCACTGGGGGGCATCATAAACAAAGGTGTGATAACACTAACGTCACCTTTTAAATCGATGTGGTGAACTTATTAGCAAACAGTTGTTTATTTACACACCCAGCAGACATTTAGCAACATTATCATTCATCTGGAGCTGTGTTTTTGGCCAACAGACAAATGAAGTGAAAATATCTCTCTTTTAGCTCTAATTTTGGTCTCTACCAACTCCTTCGGGAACTATCTGACTCTTTAGCTGCTAAATGCTTCACCCGCGAGTCGCTAACTGTGCCTGTCTGTCTGTGTACAGATAATCAAAACAGTGAAGTTAAAGAAAACTAAGAGGCTAAAATGCTCCATAAACTGCAGAGGAATAGTTCTATGGGTCCATCATTACGAGTGATTCACATTACACATTTGATCAACTGTTGTTATAAAAAATATAGATGTAAAAAAATCTTTCCCACGTCATTTGAATGCAGCATCAGGCGCAAACAGCTTTGATTCATATATAAATACATAATCCCATCCCCATCTCCCAAAAAGGCTCAACCATTATTCTTACATATTCTTTAAAGGACATAAAATGAACCAAAATTCAAATGTATTACCTTATAATCCTACTCTAATGCTCTATAGTTAAATACATTCTGCAAAAAAAAGATAGGAGCCAACAAATGTTGCCATGTTTCTTTCTGTTGTATAGAAAATAGACCCAATTAACTCCAGTCAGAAAGGCCTTCTTTAATGTATAGTATATATAGTATTCAGTCACCTGGCATATTTAAAGGTTGTGTTGAACTGAGAATTTAAAATAAATTGGGTAATTGCTGCCTGCAATCGTAATAATTTGTAAACTTACATTAAAAAAGTGAAAATATAAATGACTGCTATTCTATGTCCCTGATTAGATGTATGAGATAGTTGACGATACAAGTAAGATCGTAAGATAGTAAGAGCAAAATGATCGCTGACATTTTGTTTAAAAAGTCAGCGATTAAAGGTATGGAATCACAGTCGGGTATTATGAAACAACAGTTAATTCATCCTGTTGTTGCCACCATCCACCAGCAGAGGGCAACCTGTCGAAGCAGTTGGCTTTAACGTCACTCATTGCAAAGACACAGCACACTATTTACAATACAGCTTCAGATATTTTGTAAACTTGTTTGACGCTTAATCCATGCTTAATATCTCACATTATAGTCATAACTCACATATTTACAGTTGTTTGTTGTTTTCCATTCACACGTAAAGCCCAATCTTTGTATGGCAGGTGTGTCTAATAACTTCTCTCTCACACGACATTATAGGGAATAGAAATATTTCAGATAAAGATGAAATAAATGAGCAAACTTCTCCATCCTCTGCTGCATTAGTCATGAAATATACACATGGGTACTGTATGTTGAAACAACATCTTATATCCGGAGTCACAGTGGTTTGGTTGGATTTTAAAGCCGCTGCCGAATCCAATCCCTGATGAGAAATGCAGCAGCAAGCGCAGCTTCACCTGATGTGACTTTTCGAGACCATCTTCAGCGCGATATATTAAAGGGGCCTGACAGAGATTCTACAGAGAGACTGGGAGATGAGCACAGAATAGAAATTACCAATGCGACAACCACACTTTTCTCACTCTAATTTTGATATATCATAGTAGCTGTTGGTCTTGTGAGGTTTGGCTCAGCTCCATTTAATGTCAGCGATTTCGGACATTTATTCCTCGAGGTGAAATCACGTCCTCGTGAGTCAGAGTGAATACAGAGCCTGGGAGAGGCTGCAGGGGAAACGTCAAGGCAGGAAATGCTCCTGTAGGCAATTAATCAACCTCGTTCCTGCACTTTGATTAATTTAACAGACCAGTTGGTACACGATTTTGTAGTTAACCAAATTAACACAATCCCCAAAATTGTATTAAATGCTGCAGACATATTTTAACCTCTAACCTCACTGACATGCTCGTGGTTTCTTCCTTAGAAGCTTATGCTGCTCAGTCAAATTTCATTCACAGATCTTAATCTTAAATTCCAGTGGAGATCTTAATGTTAAAAAAAGCCAAATATGTCAGTATCAGTGTCTGTGTCAATAGTTCAATATTTTGTTAAACACTTATTAGATAAGAAGAACAACACCGCCCTCATGTCTCAAGCATAAATATCAAACTACATCCAGTCGCCACTTAGCTTAGCTTAGCTTAGCATAAAGAGTGGAGTGCTCTGACCGAAGGAAACAAAATCTGCCAGCCAGCACCTCTAAATATATAATATCATAAAACAAGTGTACTTCCAATATTAAAGAAACTATTCCTTTAATCTCTTTAGGTGGCAAAATGGTGCATGAGAGTTTGCTGCTCTCCTTATCTGGTCTCTGGTGAGTCTCTCTGGTGAGTCTCTCTCTTTTATTCTACCACTTGAGGCAGATAGACACTGTGAGTGGTCAATAACACTCCACCAGAAACTCAATTCCTCCCTTCTTGAAAAGACAATGACATGCCACTTCAAAATTACACAACCAATCCGCATGGAGACACCACTGAAATGAATTTACCACTTTGAGGTTGCAAGATGAAACATTTCCCCTGCAGACTGGCCACTCCCATGCTTGGCAGATCTGTCACATTACTGAAAAATGAAATGGAATCGAGCCCAATGCCTCCCAGCTTTTGATCTCAGCGTGTAAACCTCTTTGAAAACAGCACCAAACAATCTTTATGCCTTTTTGAATGCCAAAGACAAGAAGGGGAAAACAGAAAAGGCAGTGCTGTTGGAGCCACAACTGAGAAAAAAAGTGTAGCTTTTAAATATTCCATGAGGGAAACATCCCGCGGTGCCACTACAACTCCTATAAAAGACCCTCTTCGTCTAGTTTTACCTTGTGAGCCGTAAAGACCCCCCGAGAGAGAAGCGGAGCAACAATAAGCGCTGCTGAATCGTTTCTCCCTCGCTTACTGGAAGCACCTTGTTGTCCTGGACTTTTTTTTAAACTGATTGTGATGCTATTTTCTGATGGTACATCTTACATTTAATCATAAAGCTTAGAAATTCTCAAAAAGAGAAATTTAAAAGGACGATATTGTTTCACTGCGCAGTGTGGGAATCTTCACCATTGATTCTGTCAAAGTGAGAGAGTCGATTAGTTTAGTCTCAGGACTTGAGGAGAAATTTCAGGATGCAAAAACTGGGATGTAAAAAAAGTATGGCAATCCAGTCATCTCTGTAGTGATGTCCACAAGCTTCTATCATTGTATTCATAACCCAGATTTTATTCATTCGTCCCAAATTATGGAGCGGTGTCTCACATTGAAGTGTATCCAAGACAAAGGGCACCTTGAGAAGAATGGGAGATGGGTAAATCCCATCTGTGACTGGAAAAGGTCCACATGGGAGTGAACTGCATATGACATTGTTGGTTTGTATCCAGGGCACGCTCGGAGGGAAGACCTACTACTGTTTGGTGTTCTTTGGCAACTCCAGGCCCGTCAGTAAGGTCGCCTGAAAGGAACAACAGAGCAGATCATCTGTGATCGAGACTGTGAGGAGATCAGTCAATGAACACTTGAATTTGAGGAACATATCTGACGACTGCTTGGAGTTTGAGGAATAGTGATGGGATGGATTTAGGAAATAAAGTCTTGTTAACGTCTTCCATCTACGGATTCCTTTCTCCATACACTTTGACTCTCTGCTTGCAAAAATGATGCACAGACTGTATTCACATTCTGTAAGTGTGTGTGTGTGTGTGTGTGTGTGTGTGTGTATGTGTAAAACTGCTACGTCTGACTGCTTTCTACATGCGGCTATTTCATGTCTGTACTGGAAGAGGGATCTGATTGTTGTTCCTCTTGAATTCCTGTCTTTGCTTGTCATTTCAAACATGTACATTTTGCAAATATAAGGATTAAGATGATTTAAGCTGCAGCTATAACAATGCCTATGTATTAATGCTGAGGTCTACCAAATATCTGCTGTTGTTTTGGTAGAAATCAGCAGACAGCTGACATTTCTCGGGTCGTTAATATTTAAAGGAGCTTCAAACTTATGTAACATGAGTTTGAAAAAGATAAATAAGTGATTTGTTGCCTTTAAGTGGTCCTCCTAAACTCCCACTTGTCAGAAATACAACTGGATGCTATATTTAAGTGCTTCAGGTTCTTGATATAAGGATAACAGACTGCAACAAGGATCACTTCTTTAGTATTTTGGAAATCAGGGGACATTAAATGCTGCAACAGCAGAACATATACCAGTCTGATGTTTGGTTATTTTTATTATCAATTCAAATGAAACCATTCTTAAATCTATAAAAGAGCAGAGTGATGTTCTCAAATTGCTTGTTCATTGAGTGTATTCAGTTTACAGTGATATAAAACGAATAAAAAGCAGTATTGCAAATCCAAGAGCGTGACACCAACCACGACTAAAAGTTACAAAACGTACAAGAGAATGCAACACTTACTTCAGTGCACTTTGACACGACTATGACCAGTCTTAGCAGCTCTGGTATCAACAAAAAGTCTTTCCCAGTTGAATATATCCCTCATTTTGCTCATTCATGCAACCACTGTCTGAAGACGTACACACGCTGTACATATACTCAAAAGAACACATCATAACCAACTAATCCTAACCCTTACCCTAACCTTAAACCAAGTCTTCACCATAAAATGTAATGATTTACACTATGGGGACATGCAATTGTCCCCATTGTGTCCTTCTAAAGAAGGAGACCGTCACGTTGTTCCCCACAAGACAGGTAAAACACACCCCCACACACACACACACACACACACACACACACACTGACCTGCACGTTTCGGTTGAGGCTGACAGCGGGTACAAAGACCCCGTCCAGGTTCTCGAATGAGGTCGGTCCATGCTGCTCCTTGTTGATGTAAAAAGTCAGTGTGCGTTTGGTCAAATCCAGCAGGACGCCAACAGTCGAGCCTTTGGCGATTCCTCCCTCCGCCCTAAACACACACACACACACACACACACACACACACACAAACAAAACATCAAATAGATAAAACAGCTTAATTTGTGTGTGTAGGATGTGGGTCTGAAAAAAACATTGAAACAGGGAGACTGACATCTGACTGACTTTATGTAAATATTTAAGAAACCCCTCTCCCTTCTCATCTGTCTTTTTGTCATTCTTTCCCTACAGCTCGTTAAAAAGAAGATGAAACTTGAGCTTGCATTCACAAGTGGACCAAACTCCACTCTATATCATAATAATATTCCAGTTCTATTCTAAATATGCCAATAAAGTGCCATGTGCTTGAAAGAGAAAGTAACGCACTAAAAACCTGATATTCAGCGATTTATCATTTTCATCTTTTGTGTCCACAAGGTCTTGAGCTTTGTTTTAACAACAGCTCAGGAATCACACTACCTACTGTGATCTAACTCTAATCTGTGTGGTAAGGTGACCAAAGATGGACACTTAAAGAAAACTGCAAATGTTTGTTTTATCCTGAAAATTAGATACGACTGTGATTGAAATTGTGTTTTTGCATAGAAGCTGTAAGGTGTAAAACCACCTCTGTACATGTAAGCACGCAGGTAGCCATGTTTCAAACACATGATGGCTGCCTCTGGACTGGGCTGAGAGAGACACAAAGGAATCAATATGTGGTTAAGCATGAGACACAAACATGAGATGATGAATGACATGAAAGTAGATGGCACAGTGAATAAATCCATCGTCTGGATGGATCGAGATATGAGACGAATAAACTCAGAGGTTTCGCATTGTTGGATGCTGTGGAGAGTCAACTTTTTTCTTGAGAAGAATAGACATCTTTTGTTGTAAATAAATGTTTACTGAGGGTTTGATACACTGTGACACTGAGAGAGATGGTTCAGAGAGATGTCTCCTGCAGGCTGCATTCTTCTTCTGCTGCTCTCTGGTCTGTTTAGTCAGTATTGTATGAGCCCCGGGGGTCCCTCTGTTATCCTGGGTATGTATCATTATCCTGTGTGTGTGTGTGTGTGTGTGTGTGTGTGTGTGTGTGTGTGTGTGT